AAGCCTTCCATCTCTTCAGATTCCGTCGCCTTCCATCTCTTCAGATTCCTTCAGTTGGTACCAGCCTAGCTTGGAAAATGAAAACTGAAGCTAAAAAGCCTGGCTCATCGCCTAGCGCCTGTAAGTCTTGTATAGGCTATGCTATATTCAAATGCTTACGACGATTCTGGATGAAAGTAAAATGCGTGGCGCATCCTGAAATAGACCGATTGATTTTGGAAGTTCATCCTTAGTCCTTTGGGTTTTTTGGTGTGTTCCTGTGCTTTCCAAAGCTTCTCAGGTTTAGTCGCAAGGACAGCCAGCTTGAAACGGATGGCACCATGCGGTGCCTTACGGCGACGACGACGCCACGCACACGTGCCCTCGGTGTGGCAGATCGACGAGACCGGTTGTGGTCGATTCGACTACCGTCAGTCGCGCGCGCTCACTCTGTCGTCATCGCGTCGTCGCTCGGTGTCGATGATGTCTTCTCGTGTTCTTCTTCTTCACTGCTGTGACAGTTCGACTCTCGGCCGCCACCACTTTCACGCGGTAGCGGTGATGACGGCCGCCTCGCCGTCGCCGCCGCAATCAATCTACGGCCCGCCACGTTTGGAGAACATCTAGCGAGTGATAAGGCAAATCAAATCTGTCACACATTTGGGCACCTCTGTCACCTCTCGTTTAGCGCTATCTGCTGCACAGCCATTTATGTGTTTCTCGCTTCTCATCGGCTTTTCTCTTTTCCTCACTCTCTCACTCTCATTCCAGCTCTGCGGCATTGGGAGGAAAGGAATCACGCATTGTTTGGCGAGCTCCCTTTCCTCTAGGTGCACTGGTAACACTACTTAGTGAAGATTCCTTAAAAAGTTCGATTTTTGGTGTTCTCATTCGCCTGGTCAAAGTCACTGGCATGGAATCGTTAGAACAGTTCTTACAGTCATCCTTGGTAAAACCCTTGCTTAAATTCATGTCGAAAGTGGGAATAAGCAAAAAACTACTATTGATTCAAATTGCACCTTTGCTGAACGGGTCTACTGCGAATTCTCCATTCTCTTCAAGTTGATCGTCGATTTTAAGCTGGAATTTGTGCAACTCTTTGATGAATCCTGTGCCTAGAAATGGTGTCCTGCTACCAGCACACGATCTTACTGCTTGTAAGTTCTCACTGCATGATTTCGGGGTTTAGGGTGCGTCGTCATGCATCCCAAACCCCGAAATCTTGTGTGCTTACACCTCATTTCATGTGTCCATCCCTGGATTTTGACACAACGTTTGACATCGAGATTTATCCAGTGACCTTCGCCCTATAGTAGAATAGCAATGTCTACAGTGAAAGATCGTGGAGCGCTCATCCTCAGGTCCTCTGGTAACATTACTCATATCTGACTCTTCGAAGGACTTATGGCGTACAACTGCTCCTCTTCCTCACTGTTGATATCGTCTCAATATGTTTGGTCGAGATGTGTTTCGATTTACGTAGTACGATAAACGGCGGTCGCCTTGGAATGTGGTACTGGTCTCCGCCGTTTGTTCTCTTCTCTGTCATGAACGTCCTTTTGACAGATCGGCGGGCTGCTTCCAATATCGTTCTCAAAACGACTTTGGAAGAGCACTTGGGAGCAACATTTGTGTCCACAACTGTAAAACAATTTTTAGTAAGCGGGAGGTGGAAGATCACTTTTTGTGCGATAGAAGGAAGGATGGATATACTCACTTGTTTGTGGAAAATTCAGGACCAATCCTACCTTTTTTCCAGAGCGCTTCATTAGGAATTTGGATTTATTGTCATGATTCGTTTACCGTGTAGGAGTGCGGCATGAAGAATTTCTTCTTCAACCACCTGCGCCTCATTTTATAAGCTAACTTTACCTTCGTGAGATTGAATATGTGCGGATGTTAAGGTTTTCTTTAAAAACCCTGGAAACAAAAACTTTATTCTCAACGTTTCAATGCTATTGGGCCTCCTCTACAGCCCAACCCCTCCCACCCCACCCCCAACCCAAGAAAGGACTAAAGCCACCCAGAGCGTATCCACACACTACTGCAAACCATACAAAAGTTCTGCCGAAAAATCCAGTTGCAGTATTGGTGCAAGCGTTACATCACTAGCTCCCATATCCTATGCAAACTATGCCAAGATTCAAGGGAGGTTGAGCACTGGTATTACTTCTGTGTTGAGTTTTCTTTGGCGTGATCAACTGAAATGATTATCAATCCTTTTCCAGAAAACTCAATTTTTTTTGCTCGCTATTATGTTCCATTTGCTGAAAAGGTGCTAATGTTGCTCATCTGTGTGGATATCAATGCAGTATCATCCCCTTTTTGTGCCTAAGCCAGTTTTTTTGCCTAGGGTTCCCTCAGCTGTTTTCTTAACTGCAACTTTTTCAATCCTATTTGGACTTTATTTGATTGTTGTAGAGCGGACCTATGGCTGCTCCGCCTCATTGAGTGGTAAAAGTGCCAAAGCAAAATAGATGGCAGACAGTTTAGATGGAATCGTTGATTGACCTCACTCTCTTGAAAAAAATTAACATGTAGAAAGTACGACGAATACATACTTGTTTTTAGTTTATTATTCATTTTTGATGTTATCTGTCCACATTTTAAGCTGTCAATTTTTCTAAGCGCTGATAGTTATCAGCTACAATTTCGTTGAAAAGTTAGCATGAGAAGCAACGAGTTTTGCGAGTACTTTTGGTATGCGCCACGCACTTGGTCCCAATCCTGGTAATGTGCCCTCATCTGCTCTTGGCTGACCTATTTTCTCAGCGAAAATTGATTTTCATTTTGAACAACCTTTTCTCATTGATTTTTTCTCGCCCGGACTTGGAGGCATTGGGTTATTTTAAGAGGGTTTCTTGAAAACATTCAGACGAACATTTGAAGCCATTTTTCGAATAGGTCGTGTACATTTTTTCCATTCACTGCACTCACCTATTCTGTCATGCCTACTCGAATGTATGCAATTTTCCGTTCCACAATGTTCGCCACTTGGCTGTACTGTTTGCCAACACTTGCGGTTCGAGTACAAGTACCGCTAGCACTTCACTTTTGACTTCATTGACAAAACATCACCTTCGATTTATCTATACTATAAATATGTTTTACAATTGTTTGTTGGAAAATTTAACTGCCATTTTATCAACAAACCATGAATCATTTCCCCCACTTCCACAAAGAAACCTTCGAATTTCGCAATGTTGCGCTCTAATTGGGAATAGTACAAAAAAAAAAACCAAATTTCTTGT